GTGAAGCTAGTCCTAAACAAAAAATTTAATGCTTTAATAATAGAATCTGTGTCAACTGACTCTGAGGAGAAAGAATATCATAATGTTGAAAAGACATGGGTGGTCACCACAGAACAAACAAAATGCTCATTAGTATTGGTGGAAAGTGGGATTGAAAACAAAACAGAAGCTATCAAAAGTCAGGAAAGTAGCAGTAATTTTGTAGAAGGGAATACTGATCAGAATAGGAGCCAGGCAATTCAAATAGCAGATGAAAAATCCAATGCTCCTAGTAAAACACTAGGGGCAAGAGAGGTTGGAGAAGAATGGATCGTAGTACTATGATGCAGGGGGATTATTCAGACTTGCCTTTTGAAAGGGGTAAGAGAGGCACAGAAGAAAAGGATGAAGGTGAACAGCAAGGGATTGTGATAAAAAAGATGATGTTGAACTCAACTACTCTCACAGGCACGGGGCCTTTGGCGGAGGTTGGTGTAATACCTCGTATTTTCATACGTATTTTCTAATTAATTAATTAAAATTATTTTTCAAAAAGGGGTTTTTAGTAAATTTATTATTTGGTGCCAAAATAATATTTGAATTTTGGCGCCAAAAGTATTTTGAAAATTAATCATTTTTTTATAAGATATATTATCCATTTATCCTATTTTAAAAACCGGATTGTTTACATATTTCGGATATTTTAATTAAAGCAAAATAATATTTTATTAATTATTTTATTATGGCCGAAATTTTCCAATAATTAACTAGGATTTTTGATTTTCCATGTATGGAAAATATGATTTTTCTTGGTTATTTATTGGTAAATAATTGGTATTTAATTAATTAATTATTTAATTATTTATTCTATATTTTTATACAATTATTTTATTCCTTAAAAACCGAGCAAAATCTTCCCAAATATATCTAGAGGAATCCGAATATTTGATCTATGGTAAGCTCAATATTTTCGGCCCTCGTGAATTATTTTGGGGGAATATATTTGGTAAAATTATATTTTAATTATCTCTCAAAATCTCTTATTTTCGTTAATTCTAATTCTCCATCTTTTTAATATCTAATCATCATATTTTCTTGCCAATCATTTTTCTTAATTATTCCCCAAGTAATTTCAATCTTCTTAATATTTTTCATGACATACATACCTTCCATATTCAATTATACACAATTACCTTAATATCAAAACTTTCCTTAATTCTTTTACTCACTTCTCCAAGTAATCTCATAAACCTTACTTGCCATAATTCTTCCCACATTCTCTTACCATAATTCTTGCATGAGCTAGCCTATAGATACCCCTCCATACCTCTCAAATTCTTCACACCAAAAACCTAATTATCTTCTTTTCTTCTCCTCAATTTTACACAAATCATCCCGTTTATCTTTGAAGCCAATTTTCAGAAACTTCTGGTCAGTTTTGGGGTATTGAAGTTTCACAGAAAATTGTTCTTCTCAAAATATCCTTGAGGTTAGGCTCAAGAATCACCCAATACGGATTTATATCGAAGGAGTTATGGCCTCTGCAAGTTCTGCCTATTCTTTCCTACGCAAATCTAATTCTTTTCTTTTCCCTGGTTTCTTATCTTTTCTTATTCTCTTCTCTTATTCAATTATTATTATTATTATTATTATTATTATTATTATTATTATTATTATTATTATTATTATTATGGGGGATTTATAAATAATTATTATGTGTAGTTTTAATTATATAAAATCAGATTTTTAATTATGTTTATGAGAAATTAATCTAAAAGGTTCATGTACATATAGTTGGAGGTTTTTAATTATTTGTTAACCTTATATTGATTAAGGTTATATTTATTTGTAGGGTGTGTTTGATCAAGGTTCCTGAGGTCCTTTTTATGTGGTTTTTCTAGCAAGGATCAAGGTACGTTTAGGTGGCTAGATACCTTTCAAAGTGATTGGTTTGAATAACTTGTTTTACATGATTTGATTGGTACGGTGATTGAATTAAATTGATTTGAATTATGATTTTTAAATGAATTATGTTAGAAGGTATTGATTTTAATAAAAGTATTTTGAATGATTGATTGATTTTTAAATCATTGTTTTGAATGGTTTGGATTACTTATTGTGTTTAAATAAAGGAATTGATTTTAAAAGGTTTGTTAAATTAAATAAAGGTTTTTCAAGGAAGAGTTGTTGATTTTGAAAAGTTATTAATATGAGATTTTATTCTCAAGTATTTATTTACAAGGTTTGATTTTGAAAGCATGTGGAATTATTAAAAAGGAGTTTTGAATTATATTGGAACTATTGGATATTAAAAGAATTTATTGAACCATTGAATCATTATTATTAATGCTTTATAAGCATGTTTGTAATCCCACTATGCGGATTTGGTTTATTGATAAGGCCTTGGACTTTGTATGACCGAGTCTTTCCTCAAGAATAGCCTTGTAACATAAGGAGACTAGCTTGGGGGGTGTGTACACTTGGGTGAGGAATTGGATTGAAAGGAATTGGTTCTTAATAAAGAAATTGGTTTTATTAACTATCATTTTGAATATGAATCATTATATTGGAATCGGTTTTGGAATGTGAGTTTTGAATTTATTAGCTTCATTATTGGAATTGGTTTTAAAAGCATGTTTCCAAATAAATTGAGTTTACATTATCTTGCACTCATCGTACTTAGCATATTTTGCTAATCGGTATTTCCTATTTGTTTTGGTTCACCCTGTTTACCATAATGGTAAGCAGTGTTGACTATTTTTAGGTGGAGTCATAAATGAGCATATGGGAGTCCCGTGATTTGCTTCACCTAGTTTAGGAATGTTGGTCTTGTCTTTATTTTGATTACTCATAAAAATGTTACTATTTTTTATAAGTATTAATAAAAGAAAGTTGAGTTTCTGCTGCAAGTTTTGTTATTGAGTTAAGTATTTTGAGTAGCCTTGCGTAATCACGCGGCGGTAATACGCACAAGTCTATCTCTACGGTATAATTATATGTATTATACTAGTATTTCCGTAGAAGGAGATTTGGGGGTGTTATAGTTGGTGATATCCAACCCCGCCCTACCCAATGAGTCTTCTATGCTAGAATTGCCATGGGATGGGCAACCCACGAGCAGTTTGACAACTCCATAGATGGAGTAGGGAGTTTGCCCCCGACATTGTGTTTTTGTCGGAATCAAAAATTAATAAAAATGAGTGTGAGGCTCATAAATATAGATTGGGGTTTTCTGGAGCATTTGGAGTGTCAAGCCGTGGTTTAGAAGGTGGATTAAGTATTTTTTGGAAGCAAGAGAATCTCAAGTTCACACTTAAGTCTTATTCCAGCAACCATATTTGTGGTGAGGTTGGTTCGGATAAGAGGAACTAGATATTTATAGGGATATATGGGTGGCCCAAAGGTGAAAATAAACATCGCACTTGGAGATTGATGAGGCATGTTTGTGAAGAATCGGATCTTCCAATAATCATTGTTGGAGGAAACTTTAATGAGATTTTACACATGGGTGAGAAAGAGGGAGGATCAGATAGAGACAGAAAGGAGATGTACAATTTTCGTGAGGTAGTTGATGAGTGTTGTTTGCGAGAGCTCAAGGCGAATGGACAGTGGTATACCTGGGAAAAGAACACTAGTAGAGGGATGGTGCGTGAAAAACTAGATCGTTTTCTTATGACATCTTCCTGGTTATCTCTGTTCCCAAATGTGTGCATTCAACATTTAGTTTGCTACAAGTCTGATCACTGTGCTATTGTTATCAGAGAGAAGGTTCCTGAGAGGAGACGAAATAAGGGGAGGAAATCCTTTTGTTTTGAAACCTCCTGGTTACTAGATGAGTCATGTGAGCAGGAAGTAAAGAGTGTTTGAGATAATACTATGGGAAAGGCAATTGAAGAACGAATTGAGGGAGTGGCAATGAGACTTCTGCATTGGAGTAAAGTGAAGTATGATGATCTCGGAAAGCAGATTGAGGATGTGGAAAAGGAGCTTCACCAGGTTCAGCAAGACCCTCTAACGCATTTGAATTGTGCTAAGTGTTCTGAGCTTGAAGCAAGGCTGGACGATTTACACTCAAAACATGAAGAATACTGGTCCTTGCGTTCAAGGGTGTCGGAGGTGAGAGACGGAGACAAAAACACTAGCTACTTTCATCATAAAGCTATTCAGGGAAAACAAAAAATAGAATCAAGGGGCTATTTGATAATAGCTCAATTTGGCGAACTGATGGGGAGGATATCCATACAATTATTAAGGATTATTAAGGATTATTTTGGGTCTTCCTGCCAAACTGATGATGCAATGAATAGTGTCTTGAGCCATATTCACGAAGCCATAACAGCAGATCAGAATGCGGAGCTCATGAGACCATACTCAAAGCAGGAAATTTTCGATGCACTCCAACAAATGCATCCGAGCAAAGCCCCGGGACCAGACGGGATGCATGCCATTTTTTATCAAAGGTTCTGGCACATAGTGGGAGATGATGTTGCGACCTTCATGGGTAATATTCTAATTGGTATGTCTTTCCCTAGTGCTCTCAATAATACTAACATTGCCTTAATCCCAAAGGTTGACTCGCCTACCCTTCCCTTGGAATTTAGGCCTATTAGCCTTTGCAATGTGCTTTATAAGTTGGTCTCAAAGGTCTTAGTTCTTAAACTAAAGAAGATCCTCTTAGATGTGATTTCAGATTATCAAAGTGCGTTTGTTCCGAGTCGTCAGATCACAGACAACGCTCTTATTTCCCTAGAAGTTTTCACTCAATGAAAAAACGTGCTAGAAGTGGTAGAGGCACAATAGCTATGAAACTCGATATGAGTAAAGCATATGATAGAGTTGAGTGGGCCTTCTTGAGAAAGTTGCTTTTGACGATGGGGTTTGATGGTCGTTAGGTGAATTTAGTAATGGAATGTGTGACAACGGTAAAGTAATCGTTTGTAATAAATGGGAGAATTTGGGGTTCGCTAACCCCGAATAGAGGGTTGAGGCAAGGGGACCCTTTGTCACCTTACTTGTTCATAATGGTAGCGGATGCCTTCTCAAACATGAATCATGCACAAGTAGCTTGCAAAAGCATTCATGGTGCAAAAGCAAATAGAAGTGGCCCGGAAATACCACATCCTCTTTTTTTAGATGACAGTCTCCTTTTTACTAGAGCCAACCGACAAGAGTGCCAAGAAATAGTTGTTATTCTCAATAAATATGAAGCGGTAACTGGTCAGAAAATTAATTATGAAAAGGACGTTTCAGTCAGTAGAGGGGTTAGCACTGATCGCAAGAGGGAGTTGATTGATATCTTGAGCATGAAAGAGGTAAAGAAGCATGAAAAATATTTGGTAATTCCTGCCATTTGTGGAAGATCGAAAAGTGTGACTTTTGGGGCTTTGACTGATAGAGTTTGGAAAAAACTACATGGCAGGAAGGAAAAATTGTTATCGAAGGCGGGAAAGGAAATTCTCCTAAAGGAAGTAATATAAGCAATACCAACCTACCTCATGAGTATTTATAAATTTTCGATTTCTGTCACTCGGGGAATAGAGGCGGCTATGGCCAGATTCTTTTGGGGCAACAACAATGACAAAAAAAGGGTCCATTGGAGGAGTTGGAGGAGCTTATGTGAGCCAAAATGCTTTGGGGGTATGGGGTTTAAAGATCTCACGGTCTTCAATGATACTTTACTTAGAAGACCAGTGTAGAGATTATTAAAGGGGGAGGGTACACTTCTTGGTAAGGTGATGAAAGCAAAATACTTCCCGAACTGCTCCATCCTTGATGCGGCTCTGGGGTACTCTTGTAGTTACTCATGGAAGAGCATTTGGAGTGCTAAATCTCTTGTGAAAGAAGGATTACTGTGGAATATTGGCAATGGGTATGACGTTAGCATTCGATCAACCCATGGCTAGTTGATGAAGGTGGGAGATTTATTGTGAGTGACATTCTTGATGAGCTGCAACAAGTAAGTGATATCATTGATCATGTTAGGCATGAGTGGAGATTGGACTTACTAGCAGAGCACTTTAATGAGAGGGATCAGAGATGTATACTTTCTATCCCCCTTAGTGTTAGAGCCCCAAAGGATGTGTTGATGTGGGCATTCTCAAAAGAAGGTACGTATAATGTTAAATCTGCCTACATGTTGGGTAAGGGATGTAATCTTGATAATTTTCACAATGCTTGGGTGAAAATTTGGAGTTTGGATGTTTCCTCTAAAATCCAAAATTTCCTATGGAGAGTGTGCACGAATACACTTCCAACCAGGTCTGACTTGGTGCGCCGTCACATGATAGAGAGCCCTGCTTGCTCGTGGTGTAATAGAGATACAGAGAGCACCTTGCATGCCCTGTACAACTGCAGCAGGGTTAAGCACCTGTGGGATGATACTCGATGCTCTATTATGATGAGAGATGGGGGTAGCAAGTCAATGTGTGACCTGATTGCTGCCTAGTCGAACATTGATGGAAAAATTGTGCATAGGGGTGCTATATTGGCTTGGTGTGTGTGGACTGAGAGGAACAAGAAGATCTTTAATAACAAGTTTACTCCTAATTTGGTGATCATGGATAGAGTAGAAAGGCTAGAGGATGATCAAGGAAAATATGCTAAATGCATTTACCAAAGACCTGGAATCAAAAGAGTGCAACAACAGCGTGCTTGGAGTGCACCTCCTCCTGGTGTGGTCAAAATAAATTCTGATGCCTGCCTAAGCACTGAAGGTAACGTGGGGCTGGGTGTTGTGGCAAGAAATGAAGGTGGTGACGTAATATTTACTGCTATTCGTCGATCAAATGCATGGTGGAAGCCTGTCATTGCAAAGGCTAAAGGCATTGTGATGGCCTTGAGACTTGGGAAAAAGTATGGCTTGAGGGATGTGGTAGTGGAATCAGACTGCGAAGTGATCGTCCACAGGTTGCAAAAATAGATGATCTTCTGTACCAAACTAGACTCTATCTTAGAAGATATCTTAGCTTTAAGCAGTACTTTAAACTCTATAAGTTTCAGTCATGTTAAAAGGGATGGCAACATGGTTGCTCATCACTTGGCTAAGATGTTCCCATTTGGAGATGAACAAATATGGGAAAATCATAGCCCCTCGGATATCTCGACCTATGTAACGATGGATAAACTTGCTTTGAGTTAATAATATTGGCTCCCGTTTTTCTTCAAAAAAAAAATGTTGTGGGAAAGGAGAAATTCGTAATTTAATTTCTTGTATAAGGAGTATCCCTCAATCCCTAAAAGAACAACCCAAAAAAGTATTGGATGGTTTAGTAATAAAACTCGTCAGTAAAACCGTAGCCTTCAAGGTAACGACCCAATCATGACTTATTTTGCGTCAGTAAGTGTCTTACACCAAAAAAAAAAAAAAAAAATTGCCGAACAGTATTGTTGAGAAATTAATATAGTACTTATTTATAGTAATATAAAAAACTTAGAAAACTATGTCTCTAAGTGCGAACCTATATCATTCGCCCTTAAGGTAATGTCCCAAGACAACTTATTTGAGAGGTGGTTGAAACTTGATGCCCCCCCTCCACCAAAAAAAGAATAGGTCTTCCTTTTGGTAACTTGTTAGGGATTACAAGTTCAACTCTAAAATTTGCATAATGCTGTTAGCTATGTAATATGTATCCAGTGTTTGTTTATGGGGTTGTTTGGTAAGTAGCTTTTTGATGGCTTTCTGTATATATTTTGGCTTTTGGAATTGGTCAAACAACCAAAATTTATGTTTGGTTAATTGGCTTTTTGGTTGGCTAAAAAGCCACCTTTTTCGCCAAAAGCTAGTTAGAGTAGCTTTTTTGGGTTGGCTTTTGACTTAAATGATAATAATTACAATTTTATCCCTCATTAAACCTATTACCATTCTCTCTCCTTAAACAAAAAACCCTAATATACTACTACTACTACGCGACAGAGAGAATTTGGGAGAAGTTCATGTGAACGTACTACTTCCACTAGAGCGGCGGGAGAGGCGGAGCATAAATTCATAATCAAGCTTCGGCATATGCATGACTACATAATTCAGTAACTTTGAATTTTTTTTTGTTATTTTTTTTGGTTATTAAGTTTTTTAGAACTGTAGAAAATGTCCATTTTATTTGGTTTAATTTGATGTAGAATTTACCATGAAGCTCTTCAATTTTCTTTTAATTAGGGAAAAATTTAATAAGAAGACTTATAGATTAGTTCAAACAAAAATATTGAGAACTCAATTTGTAGATGTATGGGTTCAGTTTTTTTTTTTTTTTAAATAATAATAATAAAAAAATCAATCTCATCAAAAAAGTGAGATCCCAACTAGCTTAATGCATGAGCAAAAATGAAAGAGGAAGAAAAATGATGTTTTAATTAGTGTTTGCTCTCTAGATTTACTATTATCACCCTTTTCACCCAAAATCAAATCATACAAAATTAATTTATACAATAGTTGCTAGCATATATTAGAACATTGAATTTGTAATTTAAATCTTTTAGGAAAGAATTTGCAGTTTACATCTTTTATATGTCCTGTCCCTGTTATTATTTAATTATAAGAGTTTGACTTTTAAACTTGCTATTCTATACTTTAATGATCTTGTTATATAGTTGTTATTTACATCTTTCATATCACAGTTTGGTGTTTCATTTTGCTAATAGTATATGAGTTGAAATGTTTGTGTAATAATGTTTTTACTTACTTATGTTTGGATGGTCCCACATAGGGAAGAGGATAAATGACGGAGAAATCCAAGAATTGGTGAATATAAATCGAATTATTTGTTCCACTGAATTAACTCACATACTTTTTGATCTTTGTATTAAAAACACATTGTGGAATAAAGGAAAAATGGTGCTATTATTTCACAAAGTGGCAGAAATTTGGGAAAATACCACAAACTTAGCATGGGATAAAGGCCGGCTTAAAAACAAATTGGATGGAATGAGGCCTAAATGGATACTTGCTTTGGAAGAAATTAAAATCCAAGTAAACCGGCTTAGGGTGGTATCATGAGAAAGGAAACGGTTGCCACAAGTGATGAGTGGTGGACGTAAAAAATAAAGGTTAGTTATTTTTATTTTTTTCTTTATTTATTTCTTTTTTTTTCATAAGAGTGTTGTTTAATGATTAATAAGATGGGGGGAAGGTAAGGAAAATTTTAACTCATTTTTTATAGAAAAATTCAAAATTTAAAATCTTTCGTAATAAAGGAATTGAACTTGATCTTGAATACAAAATGGATAAAGTTTTTGGGGGATGTGCCCAAGGAGCCAAAAAGTTTATTCCAGCGATCCTCCTACAATGGATGATGAAGTATATGTTCCTTCTCCACCCATTAGTTCTCGTCACGCTCATTCTCCTTATGTTAATGATTATGATGGAGGAGGTTTTAATTTGAGAAATGAATGAGATGTGATGTGGAGGGAACAATGCCCTTCATCCCTTAACCCCGTATTCACCCCTAATGAGATCAATGATAAAGGAAAAGGTAAAAGGGTAATGGAGAGTGGTTCCTTTTAAAGTAACAAGAGTGCAAGGTCTGAGTGCCGCCCTTAGTGATAAAATTGATGGAATGATGGAAATAATTGCTGAGAGGAATAGTTCCCCAAAAGAGTTTCAAACTGCTATGGTGAATATGATGAATTCTATGAATGTTGCTGAACCAAAATATAGTGTGACTGATGCTTTGGTTAAGTTGTGTTCCATGGAAGATTTTGATTCCAGCTCACCTGAATTTTATTACTATGCATGTACACTCATTGAAGATCCACAAAGAAGGACAATCTTTTTAGAATTTCTAGATGTTACGAAAAGAGTTAAATAAATTCGGTTTATGTATAAACAAAATGTGGGACATAAGTGATATGTGCTACTGACTTTACTAAGTACTTAGAATTGTATAAGATAAATTAGGAATTAGATTAAAAATGTTGAAGGAGTTCTGTCTTCGATAAGTGAAATTACTAGATATATCAAGGATCACTATTATAGAGATAATAAGTTCGTTCTTTCGGGTCTTCATTATCTATTGCTAGACTATGATCATTGATCTTTGGGCTAGTCAAATAGTCCAAAGCCCACTAGAATTGATCCTATGAGGTCACACAACAAAGGTATTGGGTTAAGCAAGTTAGAGGCCCATTTATGGGCCTCATGAACAAGTAACCAATCATGAATTGGATTGGGCTAGTATAGTTAGATTAGAGTTAGGATTTGGGCTTTGTCATGGACTCTTATTTAGAGATGAGATCTATAACTAAAGTCCATGCCTAGGGTTGTATGATACAACACAATTAACAGTTAATTGTGCACCAAGCTACCCGTAATCTAAAATCTCTCTCTCTCTCTCTCTCTCTCTCTCTCTCTCTGTACCACAAGCCTATCCCCTCCCTTCGTGGTGATTCATGATTTGTTCGTTGCCCGTTCTTCTCCATAGAAGGTCAATTGAAGTGTTCGATTGCGACTAACTAGCATTAGTGGAGGTCTTAATCTGTGCCTGTGGACCAAGTAGAGGAATCACGCTTGAGGTTCTATATCTCTCTTGTTCTTGTTCGACCGCACGTGGAATCACGCTTCAATGGTATTAATTCTAATTCTTTATGTGTTATGCATGATCTTGGGATTAGGTTCTATATGAATATGATTCATGTTTTCCGCATTCGTACCTATAAACTCCTACAGTGGTATCAGTTAGCCTATGCATGTACATATATTGAATATTAATTCTTTGATAGCCCACAGTTTTTAATTCAATTAGGAGGAGAATAATTTAATTATGGGTCCATTATTATTTTAAATGTGATTTAAAAATATAGAATCATTAAAAAATGTTTAATTTGCTCCGAATTAGCCCTAAAGCACTCGAAAAATTCGAACCCTCTCACCATAATTTCAAAATTTTCATAACCTTACACCCTAATTTGTGAAATTTTGTGTTTTGGTTTTGGTTTAATTCGATAATTATATGTTTAAAGAATTTAATCTATTTGATTTCATGTTAAATTATGAATTTTTCATGATCAAATTATTTAATTTAAAAGTTAAATTGAATTGGGGATTAAATTCATGAAGAACCCTAATTTTGAAATTGAATATGATTTAATTTTAAAATTAAAGGGACCACATTAATTTACTTTTAATAAAAAGTTTTGTTTTAATAAACAAAAAAATAATAAAAAAAAGGTTTTTGGGTGCGGCAGCCGCGACTGGGTGGCGCTGCCACGGCGACTGTCGCACCGGTGGTGGTTCAGGAGGGAGGGCGGGCTGGGCAGGAAGTGGAACAGGAGAAGCACAACAGTGCACCACAAGCTGCGTGTGCTGCTACTGCTGTTCTTGCGTTGCTGTAGCGCAGCGTACACCGCAAGGTGTACGGCCGGCTCCGGCTGGCCATACCACGGTGGCTTGCGCATGTTTCAAATTTTTTATTTTTTATTATTTATTTTGGATAAAAATCAGATTTCAAAATTAAAATTAAAAGGATAAGTTTTGATTTTGAAAAGATAATTAACAAAATTAAAGTTGTTATTTTTGTTAAGATAATTATGGAACAAAAGATTTTATTTGGATAATGATTGATTTAATGAGATTATCCCATAATTATTTGGATAATAATTGATTTAAAATTATTTGATTGGCTAGCAATTAGGATAGAATATCGTCCTAAATTAGTTAGGATAGCCATGGAAAATAAATATGATTTCTCTTCCATAACTAAAATATGATTTGATTCTATCTCTTACCTTAAATAAAATATATGATATTTTATGGTTGTTTAGAAATAATATATGATATTATCTAATTGCAATAATTAATTAATTAAAAATATGAGATATTTTATGCTATGTTTCCTTAATTATGATAATTCGATGTTGTAGTTTAGGAAAGCATGATGAGTGATTTATTATGTGACACTTTATAATATGTAATATTATTTATTGCTATAT